TAAATAAAATGTTCAAATTTGGGCGCACGGACTTTGCGACGAGTTAGATGAAACGATCAAATATGTGCACACGGACTTCAATGTGTTAAGTTAGGCACGTAAAACTCGTCTTTGCTCAGGGGCCAATTCGCACTACGGATAACACGTATTTCACTACGGTCAAAAATATTTTAAAGGGCAATCATACGTCGTCTACAAATAATATTATTCTCTTTATCTTTGAAGATGCCAAACTTGACTTGAAGAAGTCAAACTTTAGTATAAAATTCTGTATCAACACGGAATCTTCAAAATACAACTTTTCCTTGTTGCTAAATCCATTCTCGCCAATCAGCATCTTTTTACAGATTCGTTCAACGTTAATTTCGATACGAGTGAGTCAGAACTATGCTTACACACGTTTATCTTGAGCTATAGTTCGATAAAGCTTTACGAAGGAACCAAATATTTTGAAAATCGTAGGAAAGATCTCTATTATTAACACTAGATTGCCCAAGGAAGTCATTTTGACTGTTTTTTAATTTCAATTAGAAAAACAATTGTGTATATAATGACACAATTTCTTAGAATTTTCTGACGTTTTGTATATGACATATAAATGCGTTTATTAATAATTATAGCTACCTCCCCCCTCCTTCATTATGTTATACCTATATTGCCCAAAAGCAGTCATTTTGACTGCTTGGGAAATTTTAAATAATCAAACGACTCTTATTATTGAATAGAGTAAATTTCTTATATGACCAGTTCGGCTCTCTATTGAAATAACAGTTTTCATTTTTTACATGAATTACATGATAAATTGTCGATTTGGGCGTATACTCGATAAGTTGCAGTTTCTCAATAAGCTAAAGTAGTACTTGTTGGTCGAATCATTATGCAGTGATACTTGTTCTAACAAGTTGTAATATTAAAAATTAATTTTAAACAAATTTCTTTACACATTAGTGATTCTTTTACAATGTAGTTATTTTGACTGTTTTTGGGCGATATAGGTATATACTAAGTTTCAGTCTTTCTAGTGTTAAAAAGGACTGTACTCGAAAAGATAGATACGCCTACGTGGATATAACAAAGAGGAGTAGATTGTTAAGAAATCTATCTGGAGTGGTGCCTCGTTTGGACACGTCTGACGAAACCTGGTGACCCATCGTGTCCTGGGACACGGTACCGTACCAAAGACCAACCTAGCCGAACTTGCGGCCGCATTCTGGCCGACTGAACGAGGCAGTCAAAACCGCGCGCGACTGGGTCCTCCGAAGGCATTCGACTCCCACGCTGGTCGCGCGACGTGGTCCGTGTGTACACAAAATACACGTGTGCACGCACACAGACGTAGGCCGGCGTAGGAAGGCGGTGGAGGTGGCGGAGGAGGAAGAGGAGCCGCGGTGCGCGCGGGAGCGAGAGAAAGGGACATACGCGACGCACGGGTTGCTCTGCATGCATTTAAAACGGGGACGCGACCCGTAAATCACGTAGTAGAGCCACGGCTCTGCTCGTTGCGGTGCAACGGCGGAAAGGACGTTGCGCGCCACCGACGCCGCCACGTGGTTTTCGCGGCAAAACTATGCAGCCGCACACGCCGGGCGAATTTATGAATGGGAGAAGCCTATTGACAGATCGCGCGTCGATAACTCTCTCGTTAATGGCCCGTGATGGTGGGTGAGCGGCTCGATGCGCCGCAGGAGGACGACGACGACCAGGAGGAGCACCAAGTAGGGGGGAGGAGGGCTAGACGAAGAAGGACAACGGGGGAAACTTGGACTCGATTTATGCTGCTCGCGGCACACGCCGTTCGGTCATCGCGACCGTGCCTTTGGCCTGCTCTTCTTAAAAATCGCCCGCGTTTGCGGGTAATTTCCACTCGACCTGGTCGTTCCCCCGAACTTTGTCGCGACAGAGAGCCTTCCTTTCGGAGCAGACGCGAACAACCTGTTTTAAACGGCGATAGAAGACTAAACTATTGCGTTTAGAACCGCTAAGAGTGCAGAGTTCATGTCTGGTCCACGAGCCAAAGGTTGGCAAGTACGCGTTGTGGAGCACAGAGCCTGATTGGAAGGAGAAGAAAGAGCAGTATAATGAAAAGTAACCTGAAGCTCGATATTCTCCGTTATTGGTATTATTCGGATCTGTGTTTCCCCTCGACTTCACAGTAAAGGGTTTTCCTTTTAGAGGATCGACCTTGACTGTTTGGAAAGAGCAAAGAGTACCGAGGGATAGTACAGCGATGAATTTCTCATCTTAAGATGAAATTCTCCCGATAAAAATAAGTCCAAACTCGACATGAATTGGAAAAGTTTTACAGTAATCACTCCAAATATATTGTTAAAGAAATTCTTTTAACGCGGATCAAGATCAGTCCCATTTATACAAAAATATCTTTTTTGTTCGCTTTCGCTATGTGTTAATACTATCAAGAGACTCAGGTTATGCCAAGCTCGAGAGTTTGAGTGGTAGATCTGTTGTAATTGTTACTGTAACTGGGAACTCTGATAGCATAACAAGAACTAACTATCTAACTAACGTAGGTATAGATTTACGTTTTCCTTGAACTTTGTTGCAGTAGAGGGTTTGGCACTACTTGCAAAAGAGAACAATGTTTTCGTAGAAATTATAAAAGATGCGTGTGAGATACCGACTGCCTCGAAATAGTAGTCGATAGCTTTCTCGACCACACCAATACGATTACGCGTCTCTTTTAGCCGTTCGATTGGTCGACCGCATCGGAAGGAGATATCCCACTTATGTAACATTACGGAGCATTATCTGTCACTAGGAAAGGTACTTCTGCACTGTTCTGCAGGTAGAACAACCGTTTGTGCGATTAAAAATCAACGAATAAAATTATTCACAATGATCTAGAGAAACTAGGACGGAGAAACCAACCATTTTGGTTAGCAGAACGTCCATTGCAACTGTCCGTCGGACGCCTTCCAACGACTCTGCCGGTCACACGCTCTAACTCTCCTCAACCGCCATGAAACGTATTTAAAACTGTTACACACCATAGAAATATTCACGAATATTTTCATTATAAATAAAATATCGAGGTGCAATTGAATGCCTGATCGCAAAGAGCACGAATCAACTGTCGATAAATGGAACTCGAGAGGACATGTCGTCGAGATGACGAAAACTACACTATGGTACACTATTGAGGCTCCTAAAATTCATGACGCACCACCTTTTTGTACGATAAAACGGCAGAGGCGTACAAAAAAAAAACTCGCGTCAAAAGTTCGGCAAACTCTGACACCGTCGGCTTTATGTAGCTCTGACGTAAGCGTGAGAATTCCTAACTCTTCACTTGTACGGACGTTCTAAGATACATCTGACGAACAAGCGATAAATCTATCGTTTGGTAAGTTCAACACCGAAATAGCCAACGCAGCATGACCCTATCCGTAGTACACTTCCGCTTAACCATAGCGGCGAGGAGAGGAATAATATTTTGAATCGTGGCATAAATTTCAGAAGTTTCATTAATGTTTTACGAGCACAATATTCCCCTTCAATATTCCGGGTAGATAAGAGTCGAAAGAAAAATGTACCCATGGGCTTCTCGCCCGTAGCGAAACGGGCCATCGAATGTTATACATTTAGAAAAGAAAATCGTTCCTATCGTGTCCACGCGATCGGCAAGGGGAAAAAAGAGCAAAGGCAAATATGTGCTTCTAAAAACATCCCTTAGAACAGTCGAGTTGTTGTCGTCGCGGTAACCATGACGACGTTGCCCCCTTGATGGTTGGTCATAACCGTGCCCCCTCCCCACCACTTAGCGAACTCGTACACCCCTCTCGTCGCTCCTCGCAGCGACGAGGCAACGCTAGGTTTCCTCCACAGCGCTGGCCAAGTAAAGAAGAGGCAGCCACGGAGCCTCCGGTCACCTTTCTCTATCTCTCTCTCTTTCGCTCTTTCTCGTTCCTCCATCTCGTATATAGGTGTCTCTTTCTATCCTTCTCTTATGCCTCCTCTATCTCGGTTTCTTTCTCCTTCTCCATCGACGACCCACGACCCACCGTCGTTACCACAGCCACCTCTATCTCCCCCTCGACCTCGCCATCTCCGCCATCCAGCCGCGGCCGCCGTCCTACCTCCTCCTCCTCCTGCCTCCGCCGCCCTCCCTCCCTCCCTCCCGCCGCCGCTCGTCACCAAGCCCAAGGAAACGCGGGATCGCTTCGAATTCAAACTACTGAACACGAGGTTACCACGCGTCAAATCTGACACTTCGGCACGACGTCGATGCACCGCCGTATCATTTTCTAATCGGAGTCGAAACCACCGCTGGCTACGTGAAACTTTGGCGATTTTCATGTACAGATCCTGTTACCGTTTCTAGCGAATTCTCATACTTTCGAAGGGACACGGAGAAAGCGACGAAGTTAGTGTTTACGATTTTTTTTTTCGCTCAGGCACAACAATAATGCTCGACCGTGGTTACTGAGCCGACGGACCGGGGATTCGAGACAGTTTGCTCGCCGACCAACAAACAATCGATATGCTATCGATGCACCGATCGATGTATCGTTCGAACAAGACCGTGGAAAGAATAATTCGTGTAAAGGTTTCGACAAGATTCGCGGTCCTCTCTATCGTTCCCTGTGCGCCAGTCGTTCGAGGCGTTACGAGAGATAGTTTTCGATCGCGAGCTCCGTTCCTCGACTAGCGAACGAGAGAATCGTTCTCTTCTGTCGTCGGGGGACAGAAGCAACGCTCAGATCCGTGAAATCCTTCAAAAGATCACACACTGAAGCACTTAATTCGTTGACGATGGATGTGAAACGTCGAGAGGAGTCGAGGGTAAGGTCCCTCGACGGAGAACCACCTAACCCAAGAAGCGAGCAGGACTTGGTTTTTTTCACAGAGAACGACACGCTGCCGCCCCGTAGTCGTGGTGTCGTATTCACGTAACGCTCTCTTGGCTGACCGTACAGGAACGTTAGAGGCACAGTTTTCGAAAGGAAGAATATACGGAGAAAAAGACGTAGCACTTCACTCACCTGACCAACGTCGCACCACATTATTATTTCGCTGGCACTGACGACAGCATCTTGGATCGCTCGTGTACCATACACAGTGCAACGCAATGGTTTTATGTTTTTAGTGAAGAAACAGTACGTAAAATCGAAGCTCCACCGTCGGTGTACACTCCGCTTATAATAGGCTTTGTTCGTTTTCTCGTTTCACAGTCTCACGAAATACACTCACAACTGCGAAATTATTTGACGCCGTTTGCTTATACCTCGCGTTTCGGTATACCGCCTTCTGACTGGCTCGTCGAGTAACACCACACGATCACTTCGAGTGAACGACACGACTCTCACCGACGAGCCTACTAGCGACTGGCTGGCCATGCAAAGCATTACTGAATACTCTGACAACAGTACTCGCCGAGTGCCGCCGCTCGGTTTTCCCCCGAGCGTGCGCTCGGACGTTTCCGTTGGACCTCGGCCCACCTGCACTCTAGCATGACGGCACGGTACGCAGGACCGTAGCCGCCGCACGCTGGGCCCCCATTTTCCTATCTATCTCCGACTTCGCCTCTCTATCCTTGTGCGCGACATTCGCGTTTTATTTCTACGAGGAAATTAAAATAACCATTCCACCTCTACTGTTCGCGTTCAAACGTGGAAATAAAACGAAAGTACATTGAATGATTATTGTTAATACGACTCTCGGAGCCTCAACATTTTTTCTTCTTGCCGATCATTATATAATGTACACGTTACGTACAATCTCACACTGAAAATCGTATACCAGTCTTCATAATACATTGGTAAGTACTATGAAACACTACGTATGAATAAAACACGTTTACAACGAACGTAGAGAGATTCTGTCTTTCTCGATACACGATATAACCTAAAAATACTAACTTTTGTAGCATATTTAACTCAGCATTGTAAATGTATATTCTGAAGTAATGTTTCAGTCACTTTTGAAAGGATATTAAGTAATTATTCTCTAACAATTCTGCACTTTCTTTTACGTTCTTCTTCGGGACATCTCAATACGTTCACTTATCTGTATTTCCTTCAATAAAATATAAATTACCGACTCCAGGTGCCTGCATGCTTGTCCAGACTGTAAGAGTCATTGCCATGCTTGATTGCAGGAATAATTTTTATATTTAATTCTTCATTAAGTATATTCCAGATTATGATTTCCCCATCTTAATCGTATATATTAAATTTGCTTTTATCTATAAAAACTAAAGGCTTTTTATTTAAATATTTTTCAATACTTGCCGGAAACTTTTACTTATTTTCTTGGATCACTTTTGATATATCTTAAAATACATCATTCGTAATATTGTTGCGGTAGTTGGAAAAGTATCGTATTTATGTATCAAACGTTACATACAATATTAATCAGACAAATGTGATGGACAATTTTCAGCGTGAGTCACTGTCCATAGATTTATGTTTCATTTAATTACCAAAGGTATACGCGCATCGGTGTTTTCCATTTTTCATGAAAGGAGAGCTTTCTGAATGAACGTAAATTAAAGGGCCCTTGGTGTCCTGCGGCTTGTAAATTTGTAATAACGGGAGCGTTGATGTGTACCTTTAACGTTCCCGAAGGAAGTTTTTGAATTTATTTTAATACGCCACCAGTTTCTAGCGGTATCCAATGATAACAAATGCATTATCGTGTATTTAATTCATTCGAAGCTGCGCACAATGAGCCCCATGGATTTCGACGCGTTGCCAATGATTTAGATGTTTTGATCGAATAATTTTTTCGCATTCAAGCGCGCGCAACCAACAATACAAATCCATTAGAGCGTTAGTTAAATTGTTTCGATATATCTATCAAAATGAACGTGGGAAATTTAAAACAGTCCGGTGTTTCGATGATTTACCACGCGGTCGATTGGACTTGGAATTTAATAAATTATTTTTAAAAGCCATTGTACATCGAAAAGCAAATGCCATATTGTCGACGTACGAGCGGTGGTAGATTTCGTACGAACGGAAGGGCGCGTTCTATTCACGCCACGTAAATTAATTGTATAATTAATATTGAATATCCTCGGATTGTTTATGCCATTCAGGCTGCTCATAGAAAGGAAATCCATTGTTAAAATGCACGATTTCGAAATGTAATTAATACTTTTATACAAAATGATTTATATATTAATATACGCGCCCGCGCGTGCGATTCTAACAATGTGAAAAATAATCATCACGGCCAGGATAAACTTATTACAAAGGGGAAAAGCGAAACCGCAAGTTCAGATTAAAATATTTGAAATTTACTCTCGCTGCTAAAATAATAAATATACGTGTATCTGTATTACGCGGATGTAATGAAGTTACGTTACATTCCGTTCTATCCGTTTGAAATTTCGAATTTATTTTTCTGTTACGCCCAGAAATTAGCTCGACAACGACGTTTTTAATATAACGGTATTTGCACTAACCGGCGAGAAAAATTGTTTTACGCGAGAAAGTGCGCGATAGCCAGGCCATGCCCGATGAAAGTTACGGGAGAATGGGTTGACGAGCGTTGAAAAATTTGATCTGTTGCAAAAACTCAAAATGTCTTACAATTACGGCCCCTCCGATTCGTTCGGGTACCGAGAACTATTTCGCGGACCTTGCGCTTCCAGCGTCGTTTATCAGTAATTTTGTTCAAGCGCGACCGAATTATACGCTTCCACGAATTTCAAAATTAACTGAAAACGTCGAAAACTTCCGTACTCTGATTCCGGGTTACGATGATACAATGATCCGTAAACTACTCGACCGCAAAATTAGAAACAAATTCCTCGCAACATTGATCATTTTAGTCGCTTGATGTAAAAGAATAACTAAACATAAATATTCTTTTGGACTTTTCAATTACAGATCGTATATATTAATAGTATAATTATAAAACTATACGTATATGTAACACAACGTATTTTATAGGTTAGTATATTCGTATGTAAGGTATTAAGATTTATTATCCATTGAATGTGAGTAAATAATTTTAATACTCTAGATTCCATTACTATTTGTGTACTTATTTTATAAAAATTCATTATATTTTTGTACCCTTCCTATTTAATTAGTTTAAATATTTTTTTAAACTGACAGAATTTAATTTCTAACAATTAATAACTGTGTACGTATAATTATTCCGAGATATTCTTTGCAACGTATATCATACGACAACTTTTCTTACACATAACTATACAAATACGTTTACTTTACGTTACATAACCTTTCATTCTTCAATTCACTACATTGTAGATTAATATATCTTAACGTCGAGGACAAGAATAAATTGTTCGAATAGTCCAGTAACGAAATATTTGAAAATATTTATTCGACGATTATTCTGGCATTTTAATCGTGTAAATTTTTAAAAGAAAAGAGCAAGCAGAAGCATAGAGTATAAGTCGCGCAGAAGAAACGGATGATATTTCGTAAAATGTATAAGAAAATTGCGCGCGCATCCGTAGGGAAACGGAACTGTGAAAATCGAAGCGCGGACGTCGTAGGCAGTAACGGTTCAATCGATCGATATCGAATCGAAGTCGCGGCTCGATTTCGATTTTGAGGCTGTGAAACGGGGAACTCGTAGACACCCGGGGCCCCCGAGTACGAGGGAGTCTGCTCAACGCCGTTAGCTTTGAAACCCGCCACTGACTGTCAGCCTGTATACGGCGAGCAGGGGAAGAGGGCTCGAAGGCCTCGGCTCTCGCAAGCCAGCAACGAGCAGCGGGCAGACAACGCCGCACGGATGCCGGCGCGCCACCTGCCATACGGCAAGCAGCCTAAGAAAATTCACCGCGAACATTTTTATTCGGTATCGGGTAAACGGGCCGCATCATCGGCACGCTTCGATCGCGAAACGACGACGGGCAAATCGGCGCATCGTTCGATGATCGTCGCAACTCGGCAGGCCGGTTAATTTCGCGAATTTTGCGCGACATTCCGTAACCAGCCCGAGGGGAGAGCGCGCTCGAGGCTCTGAAAGAGGAGCGTACGGCGTATCGCGCGACGGCCACAGCCGACGGCGAGGCAGTTCTAAGCGAAGTCGTTTTCTCCGCGAAGGTACGGTGAAAATTTCTTCCTCCTCCTCCTCGTCGATGGAACCAACTTCTTTCTCTCTTTGTTGTTGCCAAGACTCTCCGGTTCGCGTGTCCCAGCGCCCGCAACGGATCTTAACGGAGGGAACTTCGACTTCTTGCTACCAGCGTGAAAGTCTCCGTCCGTAATTCGAACTTCGGTCAAACCTGCCGAGTCGCGGATCGAGCCACCGGCTACGCAGCAGAAGTTCGAGGCGTTCGTGAAATTCGTTCTCGTTCGCGCTGTGCGATCGACAACCGGGTCGGTCATGCAGAGATCGTCGTTTTCAGAGAGTTCAAACTGCTTACCGTGACGAGCGCAAACCATGTAACGCGTTTCATCTGTATCGCTCGGATCCATGGTGTCCTGGTACGGTTCGCTACGAAACATTGACGCAGCTTGGTTCCTACGGTGACATTTTAATCTAGAGACTAGGTAAAAGTATTTTCAATTAGTATCGTACTCTCTGTATTACTTTTGCTGCGTAGAACGTAGCCATTTACGTTCTTACGAATCGTTAAGGTTAGGATTTCGTAGGATTACACACCGGAACAGCGTGACTGTTTCAATAACCTCAAAACAGAATTGCGTAACGCAATGACACGAGTAAAACTATTAGATATTTTAGCGGTGTACCAAAGATAGTTCCTATTTGGGAACAATCGAAATATTCAACGGTCTAGAAATTTACTGGGGAAATTTCTTATCGAGTATACGAACACTTTCACGATTCAAATATTCGTCGAATCGGATTCGAATACTGTTTAGTAGTTATTAAGATTCAAATGTTTCGAAAATTGAAAGTAATTATTTATAAAAAATTATAAGGTTCGACAGGCTAAGCAAGTACTTCAGCTTTTTGGAATTGTTGCTATTCGCTTCTGTTTATCATAGTTTTTATGAAAACTATGTGGAAGTAAAAAATAACAAGAAAGAATATTTCTATTAAGGCGATATTTCCTGCATTCACCAACAGAGGGATATGCTTAACCTTTACCTCTCTCACAAGTACCTGTCTAAGACAGGACTGATATGGATCTCAATAATGCATCTGAATTATTACATGGTCATATTTATAGAGCTATGGATAAATGTGTTCCAAAATATCAAATCAACTCAATTGATTAGGTTATTAGAGACAAAGAAACAAAGTTGTACCATCTTTGAAATTAGCTATATCTCAAAAAAGTGTTTCAGATGAAAATTGCTGTTTCCACTGAAAAACGTTTAATTTTAAACAATTAAGACTTCTATTCGAATTTCAAAATACAAAATCCAT